AAGAAGATGGCGGCCGCGCCGAAAGAATCATGCAATTCCAATTTATAATTGAACTACCACCATGCTTTATTGTTTTACAATCTTAGTATGGCAATATATCAATTTATTCAATAGTAAGTCAATATCAAGATTTTCTATCCAATTAAAACCTATTAATCTTTGTCTTGTGAATAAAAATTGCAAATATTCAATCATTATAAGTTGAATGTTAATATTTCCTAGCAAATTTGAGTTGTGCATTGATACCTTTTGTAGTAAAAAATAGCTTCTATTATTCCACATATGTTTGCAAACAAACTAGTTTAAATGCCTACCTCAAAGTTTAATTATATAATTCCTGTAAGTTAATAATTATTTAGAATATATATATATATATATATAAAAACTGAAGAATATTTTTTAAACATAACTTTAAACATTACATGATTTATATCTCAATATGCAATTGATCACTTTAATTATTTTATTTTAATTTAGAAAAAAAATCCTTAATTACTTCATTTACAAGGAAATACAAACCAAATTCTGTAATTTGGATAATATAGATATAACCTTGACAGTGGTCCGGTGTGAACTGCTGAGCAACACGTAGAAACTGAAATATTTTACATCTCAATTTAATCACAAAGTTTCCAATGCAGAAATTATGAACAAATTAAGATAAATCAGCATAGACCAAGGAATCAATACAACGGACGCAAGTGATTCTCGACGACCACAGCATCTGGAAGGTCTGCCCGATTAATGCCTCAATGAACAACAAGGCTTCCTGATCTTATTTCTAGCCACTGCTTGCAATATGCACTCCAGCCGGGATGCTTTCATTTTGGGACTCAGAGCACAAATCTTGAAAGGTCAGCTTTTTTCAGAAAATCTCCAACTGCCCGCTGCACACTCTGCATATAGCCATGAAAAACCGAGCATTATCTTTCCGGAAAAAGACGACTCTTAGTAAAAGAAAATAAAAGGAGACAGTACCGTTAGTATGTCCACTGTATAAGAGGGGGCAAGATATGAACCTCCTTATCAATCGTATATGTTTCTCCAGATCTCTCAGGAGCATGAAAGCTTATGTCCTCCACAACCCGCTCAACAACCTGAAAATTGCGGCATGGGGAATAATAAGATCTTGTTGGAATTCACACAAGAGTGTGCAACAAGACTGAGTCCAGAAGCACGAGATTCAGGCCTGTAAGGTCAGGGTAAAGGATTTTAAGGAATCTCACACGTGCACAAAAGAAACACAAATCTACACACTTAAGTGAAAATTGGATAATTAAAACCAATCCATAAGTAAAGATGCTCAAGTTCAGACAATGTAAGATGATGGTGGTGAAACAAACCGTATGAAGCCTTCTTGCACCAATATTGTCCACTGACCGATTAACCTGTAATAATAAAGATATCAATGTTTGCGATAATGTCAAAATGAAAGCATCCCAGCTATTACTACAACCTATCGACTGGCTCGAACACTGACAATTAACTCTATTGAACTGCTATTTGAGCCCAAAGGTAAATAATATGTATGAGCCTTCGACATATGATAGAGAGAAAAGAGATCAAGTACTCAAACCAATTGTGATCATTTGACACTCTTTCAGATGACTCTACTTCTAAGAAGCACTGGGAATAAAATGAATATTTTATGTGTCAGGAAAAGTCATTAGTCACTAATCATAGCCAAGACTGATCGACAGTGACGTGCTATTCTATGATTGTTAGCTTTGCACAATAATCTGAACTCACTGGCAATACGTATACTAAACAGTCTTCAATAGTACATTAAGGGACGACAGAGAACCCACAAACAATGTAGCTGTCAATTTACTCTACGAAAATTATTGGACATCAGATGGAACTGCAAACCCTCCTCGTTGCAACCTAAAATTGTAAAGGAAACACACATTTAGTCTGTTAAAATCAACAAGGAGTCTTACCTCAGCAGCCACTTTGGCAAGTTCTTCAATTGCGTCGTCTGTAAATACCAGATGAATGTCCTCTGTCTTCATCAATAGTTGCTGCTGTCGAATTATATTAGTTTCGGGCTCTGTCAATATCCGATATAAATCCTGCACAACAAAACAGTAATATTAATGATCCACTATAAAGCACGGAATCAAGTAATCAGCATTGAATAAGTTGCTGCAATGAGGTGTTACAACGCTCTTCGGACGACAGAGCAGGGTGTTCATCCCAACAGCTACGAAGACGTAGAGAATTATCTAATCCCAGAAGTGAAACCTATTGCAAGTGAGTCATCTCTATTAAAACTAGAGTGAGACATCTATCCAGGATACATAAAAATTTCTGTTCAAATCTAGACAAATTGTAGCATAAAAGTAAGATGCGAAAATGCAAGTACCTCTCTTCCCAACCCTTTCAGCTCCACTCGAATAGGTAATCGCCCTTGCAACTCGGCAAGCATATCGCTTGGTTTACATGAGTGAAATGCACCGCTACAAATGAAGAGAATATGATCTGTGTTCACGTTGCCATACTTTGTACTGACCACACTGCACATGCAAAACCAAACTATCAAGTGTATGCTAAACGATCTCGAAGCACAGCTAAAGGATACGTGTTCTGTCGTTATTAACCCGTGGTAGTATTTTGTTCAGACTATTAAGGGTGTACATTTCATGGTATCCCATGTGCACATGTTAACGCTGCACTTGGTATAGGTTCAAAAGAGTATTAGAGAACACCTGTTGATTTGTCTGATTGGCATGCAACTGGCAAGGATACTCTGTAATGAAAGCATAAAATTTGCAATCCGAATAAACCTGCTGGAATTTTTACCTGCCCTCTATAATTGGCAGTAAGTCACGCTGAACCCCTTCAGAGCTTGCGTCTGCCCCATATCTAGTCTCATGATTGGTAACGATTTTGTCAATCTCATCAATAAATACAATACCATCTGATTCTGCTAGCTGCTCCACGTCAGCAACCCATGTCCCATGTCAGATGCCAACAACATCAAATTCTTTCTCTCTGTCAAACTACATACTACAGCCAAACTTGTGATTGTCAAGGAGAACGAATTTGCTAAATACACGACATAAAGAGGAAGAAATCAAGACAAAGTGCGGGATGAAGACTTTAATTACCATTATTGCATCTTTGGTGATCTGATCTAAGTTTAGACGTTTCTCCATTTCAATTTCTCGCAGGATAGGTTTTGCATCCGCTATAGTGATTTCCATTCTTTCCATCCTCTGCGACTTGAGAAATTTCTCCATCTGAGGCAACTAGTTCCCAGGTCCAACCAATCAGAACATGATACACTTACTTAAAACTTGGATACAACATCGAAGTCTATATAAATCAAAGACCATCTCTTTCATCTCATCATCTGGACATGACATACCTGAAAAACAATTAAGTGAGCACTAAGAAGACTGAATTCATGTACCACAACAATATGAGAACATCAGAATCAAGAAGGCATTTCAACTCCAATCTAATACTCTGTATGATAATTACGGTACCACCTCTTTTAAATAACCACACATGAGATTACAAAAGCATTTTATTACTAAGTATGTATAATAGGCCTGTACCCGGAAAACCAACTCGTTCACACCAAACCCACTAGCACCGCCTATCTCCAAAGGAAGCCGTGATCTTCCATCAGGTATATCAAGCTGTATTTTGCGATTATCTAATGCACCATCTCTGTAGAGCTGTCTAAAAGCTTCGTAGTCAACACGAGCTTCAGGGACCGGAGATTCACCCTGCCACCACAAAAGGCCCAAATCTCTATTACAATGCGAAATGTTAGACATGTAACATCGCATAAGAAATCGTAGTTTACACCACAATAGTTTACTGCAACGTGTATATCTCCACATACAGCTAAACTTCTGGTTTAGAAGAACCAACAATCCGACTTTCGGTCCAACTATTTGAGCGAACAAATCACCTCAGGAGCAAATAACGTCTACTGAGAAATCAGCTCTTTTTAGCAAGGTTTGGTACACTCTTTGCGCATAACATTGGAAAACTAACACCAATTATATGGGATCCAAAACACTAATTTGTGTTTCAAGCTCAGCCATAATATTGGTGATTAAAAATATATTAGCACTGCAATAGCCACTGACCTCAACACGAGAAGCAGAGCCCACTTGACCTATGTTTAGAGCAGGAGGCCAAGTTTCAATCGGACTGACCTCCACAGGGGGAAGTTGCCGACTGATGAAAATGTCAAGCAAGCGGGCTTCCACCACGTTTTCCACTTCCTTGACTAACTTTGCACGCATCTATAACAGCAGAAAGAACTTAAAAAAACAAGAACAAGTTTTACTGAAAGAAACACAAAACGCTAGAATGAATAAAACTAAAGAATCATATTTGACTACTAGCAAATGATCAACCCAGTAGTCAACCCTTAAATTTACTCCAATTGTGCATAGAATAAAAGGAAATTCTGAAAGAACTAAAAAGAGCCAATTTAGACCTTAATATAGTATCTGAGGTACCTTCTGTCGTTGCAAGGCGATGGCGTTATCAACTAAATCTCGTATAATTTGGTCTACGTCTCGACCATGAAACCCAACTTCTGTAAATTTCGTCGCCTCGACCTGAAACAGTGGAAGGAAATATAATTCATGTGTTTACTCCTTTCAACATCTAAAACTGGACGAACTGATGTATGAAATGGAAAAATCAAAGTCACGAAGGGTGTGACTGAATAAACAGTTTAAATCGCATACATACAACTATGCCAATCCCATGCTAAATAATATTTTAACCCATGCAGACGGCATATTTTAGTGCAAGGCATCAGCATACTAAAATGACTGGTGCTCCAACTGAGAAATAGTGCAGATCTAATTTATTTCACTGGTGCAAGTACAATTCGTCCGAATAGAAAGCACATAAGAATCACCAGACGAGAATACCTTCACAAACGGTGCATACGCAATTTTTGCAAGCCTTCTGGCAATCTCTGTCTTCCCGCAACCAGTTGGACCGATCATGAGAATATTCTTCGGTACTATCTCTTCTCTAAAGGCTTCTGGAATGCGATGTCTTCGCCACCTGTTTCCTATAGATAAGAAAAAACTCCTGTTATCTTTATGCAAATGACCAAAGGCGGAGACGAGTGAGTATTTTAACTTAGAAAACCTAACATATTTGCCAAATAACAATTCGTTGGGGTGATCAAAACTTATAACTCTGTCAACTGTATGACTTGATAGCCTAAAAGATTGAGGTGAAAAAACAAAACATTGCAACACCTGTAACGGCACAAATCACCCGGCTGCTAGTTGATATGCCTACTTTAGAACCCTTCAAAACTACTTTTGACTGACATAACACTGGACCATAACTTTTGGTACCTAGTACCCCCTGTACGAATGCTAGGCTGCTTCAATATATACTTTATTTTCAATTCATCAAGACAATTGAGAAATGCAAGTTTTAACTTAAGAAATCCAGGTAAAGGTAGCTAGAAGTAATCTCATGGCCGACGTGGACAAACTACACAGCCAAAAGCCCACCAGTTTTCGAAGCAGGTCAGACAACCGTACGGAGTGCCACCGCGACTGCCCGTTTAGCCTCTTGTTGTCCTACTATGTAACGATCAAGCATCTCTACAACTTTCACAGGTGTCAATGCCTCCATTTCCAGCTCCTCTGTCATGAAACAAGAGGTAAAACACATGTAAGTAACAACTACGAGCTTCGTAACGCTTGAAAATTCATGATTGTAACCAATAGTAGGTTAACTAAAAGAACCCGCCACTTTTTGGATGTAGTTTCCAAAGAAGACGTCAGGTACTAACATCAACCTAAATAGATGAGTGACAAAAAAAGAACTGAAAGAAACAATCCTACTATATAATTAATCCCCACAGGAAACACTCTACTACCACAGTCTTGTTACGCTTGTCATGATAAAAGTAAATCGCTTCACGTAGAAAGAGCTTTAAGGTATAAAAATCTCCTTTTTAATGATAATAGATAACAAAATAACAATAACGAAATAATACAATAGGACTTGGCTATTAAGAAAATCAAGCATACCAGTTAAAAACGCCTAGGGTTCTATACTCACCCGGAGGAAGAGGTGCTAATGGCACCTGACTTGGGAAATCAGTCTCGCTTGACGTGGTTGTATTTTCTGAAGAGCTGCACCCAAATCATCGACCAAAATATAAACCAAATCATACACTTAATATTAGTTAATCATATTTTACTTTTAGAACACTACGTTTCATTCGACTGACGACAATCTTTTGAAATCCACTTGGCTTCCACAAGATACAATAATACCTGAATTTAACAACAACAACGATACAATTATTGTCCCTGGTTCCTGAAACTCAATGGCTTTGACTTGCTAAATTACAGTTATCAGCTTGGTGAGATTTATATCACATAGGCAGAGAGGCTCAGATGAAAAACAAAATTGATATAGAGAGAGCAAATAACGCCTTCTCGAAATCTGATGATTTTTGAGATTCTAAAACGTGTTGAGCAAGCTTACAATCATGACATTACAGGGTCACAATGAATGCAAACTTGCAAAAATACATCCGTCCCTCGATGTAGAAATAATCTAGACGATCACAGGGACAAATTTCAAGTAAATAGCTATGTTTATAACATAGAGATCGTAAACAAGGGGATGCTCTAGATGAGAAGTGTCCCAACACCTCTTAATAGGAGCTATAACCTCTATAACAAATTCAGCAGCCGAAAAAACAATTCTAGTAGAATGATCACGGTTAAATGTCCAGAGCGACACGCCATAGATTTGATGTGTTATGTTGACATGGCTACGCCACAACCACATTGTACAAGAACCTTCTAGTTTCGAAACAGTAAATTTGAATGACAATCGGAAACTGTCATAAATTTTGGTTCTAGTGATAATATACAAATCTACACACTGCATGTGATACAGCAGGTGAAGGATTCTACCAACGACTATCCTCATTCCAGAATTAGGGTTTGAAATTAATACAGTAAAGTCTAAGAAAAATGCGCCAAGAGCAAAGCCGCAGTTGGTTGTCATGTGTTTACAAATTTTCATTTATAATTACCAGTCTTTTCATTTCATAATGTCCTGCAAGCGTAGAATTCATCCTGAATCACTAGAAAGGGGTTGGAACTAGCTCGCAACTAAAGCCCGCGCGAACAACACGCAGACTACTTGCAAACCTACGCTATAACTGACATTCTGCCTGACATATGTGCAATGGACCTGGAAAACTACAACAATTCAATAATTCACGTCACAAGCGGCGATAGATTAGCAAAAATGCGAGGTGCTCCAGGGCATTCAGTCCTTTACTACTCATTACCAATCGGTGCGAACACCATGTCAGAATTCCAAAACGCAGTTCCTGAAACCCATATCTGCTTCACTCACCAGCACAAGACCAATAAATCACCGCTACGCAATCAAGCACAGGAATATGAATGGGTTACACATACACTGAGAGCAGCCTGTGCGCAAGAAAACCCCTGGAGGAGCCCTCGCCGGGCAAAAGCGAGCCCCTGCCACTAGTTGTCACCATCAACCTCCGCACAAGGTTCGCCATGGTCAGCTGCCAAACAGCTACACACTCAACAAAATTAATTCAGCCAAACCAAACGAACAATGAATTTCTTCAACCTGCACCGAGATCCAACTCAGGGTGAACGCTTTGCCATGTATGTACGGCCTGTAACCGAGCGAGGCAGCAACAAGTACTTGCAAGTTCAAGCGGAGCTCTTCGCCATAACCGACCTCGGCGCAGACAAGATTTCCGAATGGAATAGCAATGAGGGATGCACACACCATGGCTGTCTCAGAATGAATGAAACCCTCCCAATTTGATGACTTTCGTTCGCCTTCACGGGTGTGTGTGTTCGTGGCAGTAGTGTGATTCCCAGCCTTTTTTTGATCATGCAGCAGTGACTCATCAGCTGCTATTTCATTAATTTGGTATCACAACATTGGCCGGTGATTTGACAACAGACTACTAGTTGCAGATTCCATTCTAATCCTATTTCCAGGAGTTCTGAAGTGGCAATTGATGGTCGTTCATTTTCATGTCTAGCATATGGCGAGTTTCCACTTGTGCATGCCCTGAGCTGCGAATGTAACTCAGAGTGTCCCTCAGTGATTCACCAGGATTCTTAACAATCAATCAAGGTCACAGCAGTACTTGCAGTTCATAACAATGTTCCATACACATTACTGAGATGCATCAGAGTGTCTTAAGTGGGTATCTTTACTCAGCAGATAGAGCAGATTATTGGTTGAATCTTACACCAGAGACGGCATCCCCTAATAATAAGAGGGGAGTCTCAGCAATAAAGAAGCATAGCTAAAAACAATTCATCAAGATTCGGATACTGGTGATAAAGTTCTGGATCGAGGCCAAGGCACCAAGTTTCCGAGGTGCACGCATGAATTCAAACTACGGGCATTAATGGGAATTTGAAGAGCAGCCTATTTGCTTTCCTGGTCGTAGAGATCCGAGCTATGATAATTTGTCAAGGATTAAGAACATACATTGAGACACAAGATACATGTGAAAAGTTTCAATAAACAGAAAGACTGCTAAAAGAAAATATAAGAAGTGCAAGGAGGATACACAAGGTAGCCACCATGTATTAGTGCCGCTGCTAGTACAACCCCAAAGACCCGATCTCGCAAAATAGGTTGCTTCTTCAAGCTAATCCTAACTGCAGAAGAGAGCCCCACTCATGGTTAATACGACAGAATCATACCCTGGAGGAAACCAAATCAAACCCTTCATATCAACACAATGGACATAATCAAAGCAAGGACAAATTGAATCACTTCACACATAATTAGCATTTAACATCACCGCATTAAAGACCAAAAGCTTTGGCAAGCTCTTCCTCTGTTGCAAAAATCCTCAAAAGGATTCTTGGCACAACATAGAATCATGATACCACAGAGGGTGCGAGAATGTACTCAAGGGCAGAATAGGAGCATAGATGATAGGCACCAAAAACTTGAAGGGTGGCTTTTTCGGTTCCCGTCTGCGGGCTTCAAACCTGCAGAAGAAGATGAAAGAGTGACGACCCCATGATTAGAAACGATTTCAGGACTTTGTGACAACCTCGCTGATGCAATCGGCTGAATGTAGCGAGGCGACTTCATCAAACTAAGTAGATCTCAGTAAAATTCCGAGATGGTGACATGTGTGGTATGTTCAACAGCTCGTTGTCAACGCATTGGTGGATCAGAAAAAAACGAATATGAACATCAACTAGGATTTTAGGTTTTTCATTGAACTTCCAAAAGGTTAATCCCTAAATGCTCATACCTACCAGGAGTACGCGTAAACGGGAGTATATTTCTCAAATTGAAGAGAGAATCTGTTCTCAAGGTACAAACAAAATTCCATGTGCAGCACACGCTGAAAAATCGAACACTTTGAAAGGGATAAAGTTTAATATAATAGTAAGTAACGAGTACTTCGAATAAACCCTAATCCTCCGAGACGAGAAGCACGACTTCAGCACAAATTCTGACTCGCGCGACCAGGCTCAGTGACTACACGAGCACACACTCCACGTTATGTATTTGATATCTTGCGCATTGAAAATTCACCTTCATGAAAGAAGAGAGTAGACGATGCAATCGCGCCAAACGTGTTAGTAAGTAGCGATCAAAGAACAACATCCGACGTTTGTTCAAGATCTTCGCTCACAAACAGAACCGCCACTTCACTGACAAACATCGAACTATTCTAGATGTCTATGAAAGTGCACCTCTCTCCATAATCTCATGGCAAGGAAAAATGTAAGAATTCCGACCATAAACCCACATACCAAGTTCCTTTCAGAGCATACATTCAAGTCCATGAGGAAGAATTGAACGCCTCCTACATCAGATGTGGCGAAAGAAGTAGACGTCATAGAAGAAAAGGCAGCAGACTTACTCGTTAGACATGGTTGATGTGAGATAATTCTAGATGGCACCACAACTGCCGATGTTGCATGGACTGGAAACTGATACAAAGTAGCTTCCAATGCATCAATCGATCAAACTGCATTCAATAAGTAAAGACTTGTCCACAGTGCTTGCAACTGTGGGTCCGTCGCGCAGAATGAACAAGCTACAGAGAAAAAAGGACGATTGGGGGGAAAAGGTTGCTGACTACGAAAAAGAAGACGTAGTATTCGTCGATACTTTCTGAATTTAGTGATAGCGAATATTTAATAAAATTCCACAAAAATAGATGAAAAAATGTCGACGAACAAGACAATTGAATTCATTCTTGAATCCAACATAGTAAGCTGCCGTCAAGAATGCACTCTCCGAGACCATAATTTTCCTGCATCGGTCCAGTTGGAGATCATCTGCCTCCGAATCTGTACGACCTTAAGTCGTCTGCACATTTCTTAAGCTTAGTACAGTTGGAAAGATTATTTTCTGCCTTCACATGGTTTGGTTTCTGGAATGAACGGTCGATTTGGACTTGCCTGTGTACTAGTGCATGTGTTTGATCTTGGAAGGACGTGTAAGATCTTGGATTGCAAACCTCTTCTTGCCAGAAACAGACTTTTGGTGCGTAGATATTCTAAGTTTGTATCCTCCTGCGGATGTGGTCGCTATGGGTGGGTTTTAGCGAAGGTGAAGCATTGGTGTGGTGAAGGGGATTTGTTGTTATTTATGGGACAGGGATTCATGGACCCTTTAAGTTGGTTGAGGAGACTCCATGAAGAACGGTGGAGGCTTGTGGAAGTTCATGAAGAGATCGTGGACTTCCTCTTGTGCTTCGTCGGGGTATGCAGAAATGTATAGAGAGAGAAGTTGGTGACTGGGGAGGTTAGTAGTCCTGACTTTTTGTCCTAAAGTCTTCTGTACGAAGATGGCTTCGATTGTGTGGCTAGAGCTTTGTAGATGAAGTTGTTTCAAAGTGGTATGACTCAGTTGTGAGTTTGAGATTATGTTGGCAATTCTGACCTTTTCGTTTTTTGTTTTTTTTTTGTAAAACCATAGTCACAAAGTCGGACTGAAGCTGCACTTTGAGTAGTTTTGTAGTTCTTATGGTTTACATTTAATTGTAAGTCAATGTTTTCGACCACCACTTCAGCTCTTTATAGCACTGTCGCTTCATCCGGCAATGAACTCATGAAGCTACTTACAAATTCTTCGTGGAGAGTCATTCTGCAATCTTAAAGTCAATTCGGCAATCTCGTAACTTAAAATCTTTGGAGCATGTTGGACCTGCAGCATGCCTTATGTTGATTTGCTTTTCCTCTGCAGCGATGACAGTGGCGACAAGGTCTCCAAGGGTGCATCGAGGTTCAGCTTTGCCACCAGGAGTTCCTCCTCATATCCATTTCATTGATCCCCACATTTCGATTGTTTTTTTTCGTCGACTCAAACCCTCATGTACTGGGAAATATATTAATATGCACTTGGGCAAACAATCAAGTGCCATGGTCAATCCTCTTGGTTAGGAATGAAAGCTGCTGCTCCGATAGTAATGATCAGCGGGAAATCAGAATCTTTCATTCATTTTTCTGTTGGATGGTTCCGAGGCCAACTGGCCTAGTAACATTGAGGTGTTTAAAGTTAACTGGGTCTTAAGGAACTCATTTTTCATGGAAATTGTGATACATTTGAAATCCATTGATGTTTTAATGAAGATTACGGATTAGCTTTGTTAGGAGTTCCTTCTCTGCAGTCATGATTTTGAATTAGATGCATCCTTGACAACACGGCACCCAAAAAAGGAGAGCTGCACATGCGAGTGGAAGGATTCGAGTGGCAAAACTCGGAGTTCGAAGCTCGGCCTCCAGTCTGCTGTGGCTTGCTTATCTCCTGGTGGGGTGAAGCCAACCATAACAGCCTGCTGATGCCGTTGTCTGGGGCTTTTTCTTGTTCTCCAGCAACTGCCGTATACTCCGTGCACTCGACCGCCAAACATTTTGAAATGTATGCACTTAAAGGAGGATTTTAGGAACTATGTATTTATGCTGAACTCGCAAATTAGAAATGCTACACGAGTTTAGGACTCATGTAATGTGAGATTTCCAACTTGCATTGTGAAGTAAGCCATTTAAACTATTTTAGCTAACCATGTATTTCTATCTTATCTATGGTGGAGGTCCAGTATTGACCTTGCGCAATATTGTTATCTTAAAGTATTATTTGTATTGCTTTCGATCTCTCATGCAGGTATTTGCATGACATGGGATATCTCGAGTTGACAGTAGTCAATGGGAACACATCTGTCGAGCTGATAGATGACTCACACAGCACACTTGGAAAGCTATCAGTGAGTGTTTCGAGTTTGGCTGAGGGACACCCTGTGCGTGGTTTCTATCCGATTTTTGCTGATGGCCACCAGCTCATCGGTTCAATTACTCTGAGTATCACAGTCACATTTTACAATTGTGTAACTGACGGTGGTGCCAAATCTTTACACGAATCAATTGGACACGGAACGTACACCACATTCGAGAAGGGAAACCCTCACAGAATGGCAAATCACAGTGTTTTAGCTGTTGAAAGGAATGGAGAGCTTGTGCCTGCGAACAAATCTCTTCGTGTATGCCCTCCACCTTTTCTTGGGACTCTGAGGGAGCCTATGCAAAGAGATGTAAGTCTCAACCCTTATTCACCATCGAACTCAGAGCGGAGCGCTGCATCACCAGTGCTTGACCGTGAGTTTAAGTTCGAGCAGCACCCGATTGAATTGAGTGAGAGCTTTACCATTGAAGATGCTGTGCAAAAACTCATGATTAAAAGGCTGCCTCGCTCCAAGCCGAATTTGTCCTCCGAGTCAGGGATAACCCCTCCAGCTTCACGAGGTGATGGCTCTACACCCCACCAACGAAAGATAGCTCATTGCAGTGCTGATAATCCATATTTAAATCCATCTTTTTGTGAATTAGACGAACTAGAAGGTGAGATGGCCTATTCACTGTGCGGAAGTGATGACTCAAGCTTGTCTTGTGTCATATCAAAGTCCGCGCGTCTTATTAAAAGTCTTGCTGGTGAATCAAGTGTACAAGATGGTGTTGATTCTATCAATCTGCCATGGACGGAGACGGCGTTCAAGGATTTGAGTTTGAACGGCTCTCATAAAATCATGTTAGATAAGGTGCATGACCTCCTCTTTGAGCCTGGAAAGCCACCTTGCAAGGCTGGAAAAGTGGATGGCTATTCCCTGGTACATGAAAAAAATGCCGAAGGCAACAAAGTTAAGCATACCGTGCACGAAAAACAGTTGAGTATTTTGGATTCGACAGAGACGGTACGGAGGTTGATTGATATCACAAGTGATTCAGCTGTTAACGCAGTTGAAGAGTACCTGAAATGTACACCTAAAAGTGATGTTGGTACAACAGAGAGTATAAGGAGCTTGATGCATTCTTCAAAAGATTCTTTGGACGATGCAATTGAAGGAAATAAGGAACACAGACCACGTAGTGGCATACGGGTGCCGCAACCACCGGAGTTCTGTGCTGATGAATCTAACAGGGGAGGACTGTCAGAATTGCTTGTGTCATCACTCTCAACTGTTCCACGCTCTACATATCACATCACTGAGAATTCAGTGTTTACACCCAACATTAATGTTTGGAGAGTGAGAGACGAGAAGCTTGTGCGTCAGGAAGTAAAAGCGAGGACCTCTGTTCAAAGAAGATCTTCAATTGCGACAACTCTGTCGCCAGGAACCCGCCCCCTGATTCCTGAAGTGAATTTTGGTTTTGATCCCGGTGGAAAGCAACAGTCTCTAATATCATCCATTCCAACAGTCAATCCGAAAAGGGACAATCACTTGACTACTGAGTTAAGTAGTTGCCCGGCAGATCTTCAAGAGTTCTGCAATTCAAAAGGAAAGAGTGGCTCCTCTTCACAACATCGCTCATCAGAGCCACATACTGGCTTCGAGATGGATCAATCAGGAAAGAAGCAGCCCCCTCGCCCATGTCCGAGCCCTCAATCTGTAATTGACGACATAAACCAGCTAATAATGAAAGCGGAGGCATGTCGAGATACCTTGAAGCAGTCAAATTTATTTAAGGCACAGTCAATGCCTCCTCCAATCATCCCCTTCGCAGGAAACAGCCGGCCGAGCATGCCACTTGATGGTCACCAATGCGACTTTTACAGCGGTGCATATGCTTTGTTGGACAGGATCCTTGCAGACGACAACAAACGCGATGATGGTGACGAACATAAAACTAAGGTAATCAGATCTGTAGTATTTAACGGTCATGGCAACCGGCCTATTAACGCAGTGACCGATTATAATTGCACCGGCTGCTTTGGTTACGTTGCAAGATTCACACGAACTTAATTTGTTTTCAATGAAATAAAAAATTGAGAAATGGAATACAGGATCCAGTCAACTGCCTGTGCTATTTGGTGTGTCCCTAAACATTCACGAATTGACACTTTCAGGTGCTCATAGACGAGGATCTTGACACGGATGATGAGCCTGATCATGCCAGTGACGTTATGAAGAGAGCTTTACTTGAAGCTTTATATTTGGATAATGATAATGCTTTCAACGATTCTTCCAATGTGGCAATGGAACATTCGCTCAGTGAAACGAGCTTGGACGAAATTCAACTCAAGGTTGAGGTGGGTAGGAGAAAAAACTACTGGTATGATGAGTGCATGAAATCAAGGGATAGTGGATTGAAAAATATTAAGCACAGGCATGATGTCACTATGAACGCATCAAAATATGATGACATGCTTTCTTACTGTAGCATTCCTGCACAGCCGGTGAACTTTCCATGGTCGAAGCAATGCCAACCTTTCACCTTGCATGTTGCGATTGGTAAGCTTGTGTTGTGTGGGCCGATGGTGAGAGATTTGGCCGATTCTAGACCCTCCAAGATATCATTTCGTACCATAGATTCTGTAACACAATCTATGTGCACTTGCTCATTGACAATCTCCTTTCCGACATTCATTCCACCCTACTCCTCCAAACAAAGAATTAGCATCTCCCCAGTTTTGTTGGGCACGCGTGAGGCTGTGTTTGACCACCAGTCCCAGCTATCCTGGAGACTACTCCCTGGTCTTAATCTAAAAGATTGGCAGTCTCGAAATCTCCATGTGACTGTTCTGTTCACTTGGCAGCACTTGGATAATCTGGAATGTGAGGGCACTTTATCGTTAGAGAAGGTTGTGGCTGCAATGCCTGGTATTTTTAGAACCAGCCTGGCCCTCACGATTATAACTCGTCAAGGACTCAAGAGAAGCAAGTCAGGTAATCCTTCTAGACGACAATGTAGCTCGAAGGTTGGTGAGAAACAGAAAGTTGAACCGAGGCCGAAGCTTTCTCTAGGATTAAAGAAGAAATTTTTGGAGAACCATGAGAGAAGCACTTCTCTTCAAAAGGACGTAGCAGCAAGAGTGGAGGTCATGCTGCATCTGACCCATGACTATCCAATATCTGCAAACAAGCGTGCACATTCTGAGGTAATTACTCATGAAATATTCTTTATCTTTTATGATAATTACCATGTGAGCATCTTGTTTACATGTAACTTGTTTATTTTAGACTTTTGTAACTAAGCGTGCCTTCGTGATTTTGTTCATTCGAAGCTTGACGCTCAATGTGTGGAAATATTGCAAATATTTCAATACAAATTTTCAGCAATGAAAGTTTCCAACAAGTGAAACAGCCACCTCTACTGCAAACGTTAACACACGACAAGAATCAAACTGCTTGAATTGGCTCTTTTCAATGCTGATCGACAAGAGTATTTTAGGCATGTAGAGCTTTCATTCGGGCAGATCCAGATCAAGCTAGCTTATCCTAAGTGTCTTTTGAACAGGACACCGATGAACCTCGGATGGAAAGACCATTGAGCAGCCCCAGAATGAAGCCGTCACCTTCACGCGTGATCAGGAATTCTGATCCCATGGAAGGCAATATCCAAGGCAATCCCCAGGTGTGATACATTTGTCATGAATATAGTTTGAGTATTGAAGCCTGATTCACTTTACCTGTCCATTATTGTGACGTATGGAATTTTTTTCTTCCACCTCACGACTTATCTATTTCCTTACCATTATTAAGATACTACATACAATACTTCAAGTGCAATTTGTGCAAGCAAATGGTCTTAGATATGCTGGCTTGCCTTTCAGGATTGGTGGTTGCATGTCACTTTGCACGACATTGTCAACTGTTTTCAGAATATATTGACCAGCGAACAACTCTCGTCGAAAAAGAAATTACGGGCCCCTCATTTGGTTCTGGTGTTCAAATCTAGTCCAGAGCTGATGGTCCAAGCCCCCTTCCCCATGAAGTTGAACCTGCATAATCGGAGCCCCGGCAAAACCACGAATACAGTTTTGCGAGCACCTGTGCAGCTCTTGAATAATAGAAAGGCCATCATGTTCATTGAGGTGAATAGTTTTCACACTTAAATTTCGTACGCTTCTGATAGTGGTACTGCATGACGGCACATATTTTGATCAGACCGATACTCAGAAAATTAACACTTCCAAAACAATTAATTCAAGGTAGGATGTAGCGTTCGGAGTAATACTTAGACTAAGGTTTATATTCCTAGCAGGTGTGGCATGACGCAGGAGTGAATAATGGCTCTCATGATCTTGGACTGCTTGCTGGCTTGATAGAGGTCCCTTTGACGATGGTTCCCGGCATTGCATCTCCCACTAATGACTTGCATAGAATCGCTGCCAAAGGTGGCGAGGTTGTTGGAGAGGGTCTGCACCAACTGTTTGATCCTTTGAAGTGCGCTAAATTGGGGAGTGTAATGGTCGTGGTAACGCTCGGACTGAGCTACCAAATGCATCGGCTGAGGAAAGCTCACAGAGCGGCTACTGTCATACAGCGCAGTTTTAGAGAGTTCTTAACTAGACGACTGAGACCACATAAATCTATCGAAATCACTCGTTTCTGGGAAGCAGGGAACCAGAGAATTGAGATTAATTGATAGCTTTTTATGAAAAAGTTGAAACGTGAGTGTACATGCAAGTAATATGTATTTTGATGTGATTTTCAGAACAATCACAAGACTTTATGTTAGGCCTCGGTACGGCACAGCATTCTGAAACCTCGGAGATTTGTTCGAACTTCAGTATAGAAAAGCTGGGTTTCTGGGCTTGAAAATCCAGGAGGGAGGTTTTTTGAGAGATACTGTGAGCTTAAACTCTTCACTCATATCAAAAGTTTCTGCACTCTCGCCCTCAGTGAAAGACCAATCAAAGCTATGAAGAACGTGAGCGAGTATCAAAGAGACCATGAGGTTTCCCAGTCGAAATGCCGGACACATTCGTCGCCCTGCCCCAAATGGAATAAGCTCGTAGTAATCCATGCCTGTCAAATGGCTTATCTCGGGATGGTCGATAAATCTCTGAGGATTGAACTCGTCCGGCTTTTCGTACATAGCAGGGTCCCGGTGGATGGCGAAGAGATTGTAGAATACTCGTGTGTGGGCTGGCAACTTGTATCCAAACATCTCTGCTGGTCGCGTTGATTCATGGGGAAGAGACAAAGGAGCAGGGGGATGCATACGAAGTGCCTCTTTGGTGATGGCTTGCAGAAATGGTAGGTTTGGGATATCGGCCTCTTGGACAATTCGATTAAGACCTACCACTTCGTCCAGCTCATCTTTCGCCCTTTTCATTAGTGTAGGATTTTTCATAAGCTCGGCCATTGCCCACTCCACAGTATTTGCTATTGTGTCGATTCCTGCAATTAGCATATCCTGGAACCCCAGCTCACCGTCTCAGGAAACAATACATATCCATGGAATACTGTATCAATTACGAAAGATTTGCAAACTTTTCAACTCAGACCGTTAGCTTAAGACTCTAGTCATAATTGTGAGTCTGCATCTGTTGATAACTGGTAAGTTACTCTTCCAGGGTCCCCTTGTTTATCACTTGGATCATCTACTTCTAAGAGCTACTAGGAAGGTCAATGCACTTTGTTCACCTTAGTCATGATCATGTTTGGTGACGAGAATTAGAGACCTGGTTGACTCTTGATGTACAACAGACCACATGATTTTGATTGTGCATTCAGAGAAAGGATACGATATGCTTACCATGAGGATCATCTTGATGTTCATGTCAGGCAAAGGCTTTCCATCTTCCATCTTTGCCGTCAACAACACGTCCACAAAGTCAGGCACATAATCTTCACCAATTTTCCTGTCTTGGGCACGTTGTCTGTGCTTGTCCAAGTCCGCAAGCTTTGCCCCAATGTCATCAGAGAATTGGCGAATTTCCTTCAATCTTGGTATCCAACCTTGCAGCGTCGTGATGAAGCTCAAGTATGGTATGTAATCATCGATAATAAATGTGCCGAGTGCCCAAAAGATATGTTCATAAAACTTTTCAAACTCTTTTCTCTCCTGCTCCTGTTCAAGATTCCCTTCGTCATTTCCAAAGTACCTGTTGAAAAAGTGCAACTATCAGCACCTTCTCAGCAGATCCCACACCATTTCACACCATCAAGTGTCTAAAATGGCGCTTTTCACTATCCAGCACTTTGATGAAAATACTCATTTCTGTTTCAAGACATTAGCATTACCTTTTTCCTAGGAGCATCCGAGTGACATAATTGCAGGTTACACCCTGAAGCCATCTCCTCACGTTGACGGCGTCCCCCTTGTTTGAGTCTTTCAGAAGGAGCTTCATCATGAGATGAATCTCCTCCGTTCTGACACTTTCGTAAGACGCCACACGCTTCGGGGAAAAGAGCTGATCATGGCAGAGTTTTCTAAGCTGACTCCAGTAAGGTCCAGGATTCGCACTCGCCACCGTCTTGTCTTCTTCAAGGATGGCAAGGGCTACCACCATCGGTCGTCCTGCGGTGTCCGCATCGTTCTTAAGAACAAACTCCCGGGCCACTGCAGCAGTAGAAATCACCACGCATGGCACGGATCCTACGCACAAAGCAGGCATATATTGATTCCGACGTGGTTAGAGTTGTAGATTTCTGCTAATTGCAACAAGCGATGATCAACTTGCATGTGCTTTGAGGTACTTTAGCAATCACATCTCATCAAGCTCCTTCAATCTCATCCACTCTCTCAAAATTCACTTCACAATTATACCAAAGCTTGGCTCACGACATCCAGCAAGAAGATACATCATGTCCGGAGTCTGACGCACCTAAACGCAGGTACATAAAGCCCCCATACTTGGTCGCGAGATTGCGAAGGGCTCGGTGCGGCAGCACAGACAAGTCAAGAAAGTTTCCAACGACAGGCCATGGTAGAGGGCCTGGTGGTGTCTTCTTCTTTCCCACGACAGTGCTCGAGAAGAACACCACCGTGAGCACCACCAACAATCCTGCTGCAGCAACCATGCCATTGCCATACAGTTTGCCATCGAGGCTCTCGTCCAGATTCATCTTCTTTCAGACACAATTCTCCACTCCACTCTTTACAATGTGAGCCACTCTCATGCGCAATTACGCACGTCCACAGCTCTTGTGAATGCAAAATCCGTAACATACATTCTGGTGTGGAGTCCATGAGCAGCAATTTATGGGATCCAAACAGCTAACGTCCAACCTTGGAAAATCTAATCAATCCCCCGTCACCCGCAACTTGAGATGCGACGCAAGATTTCAGGTACAGAGAAAGACGAAAGACGATTCTTCAGTTCACGGAATGGTTGCACCTCCTCGGCAAAAGATCCTTCAACTCGCACATACGACGCATGGCGTGAAGCTTGAGTGCCCCGAGGTGTATATTCTGCATACTTTCCCCTTCAAACCCTAACCCTCCTCCTCCGCAACACTCTAAGTCCCACTTTCCACGACACAAAGTGCGATCAATCTGAAGTGTTCAAGCTTCATCTTGCTTGTGATTTGTTGTAGTTTGTGTGTAGGGCTTTTTGGGGTTTTTCACGGAGAATCTATCATTCCTTTGTAACCTTCATTTGGTGGCATGCGTTTGAACATTTCTCGGGGAGTGGGAAGAATCAAAGCTCGTAACAAAAGATGGGGTTTGTGAAAATAATAATAATAATAATGATAATTTTATTGTATTGTGCAAAAATAGGAAGTGGGTTATCGTAGGATCGAATCATATCTAGTCCTATTCCGATTGTTAAATGGCAAGAGATGCTTCTCGCAGCCTTCAACATGAACAAGGTATCGCTTTGGGACAAGACTAGAAACTACTAAAACAGAGTTTGGAATAAGACCACAACAACTTTGTGTAATGTAACTTAAAATAGCCCATAAAACACACACCACTTCCATGTCTCGATTTCCAACGAGCTGGCTTTTGCAAAGACATCACCCAGTTCAAAGATATGAAGCTCTTATGACTACTAATATTCTAGGATTGCTTTAGGATAATGTAGAAGCAACACAACGACATGGTCTTAAAGCATGAAGGAAGTTGGTATAAGACCCAAGCTCTCATAACAATAATAACAACTTTAAAAATATTAGAACAAGAAAAATAAATAAAAAACTCAACACCATAGGAGATACTAAAAGGATAATAATAAGATTTTGGTGAAAGATGCAACATTAGGTATATTCAATGCAAGTAATTCTATATAATGGACCTCCACACCTCTCACAATAGATCTTTTCTCATCCAAGCCTTAGCTATGTGGCATGGTCATGAGTTCTTTGTTGATGTTTGTACTTACTATTCCATTAATCGACAAAGAGATTTATCCTCCTACATTTAAAATAAGTAAATAAAATTATAATTATTTACATGGAGATAGAGGTTTAAATGTATTTGGTATTTAAATTGGAAAGTCTGAATATAGTGATGTTCTTTTGATATATATATATATATATATATATATATATGTATATGTATAGTCTATTAAATGGGTATTTCTTTTCTTTTTAGTTCTATTTTTTATTTTAAAATGTTTTGATTTAGAATTGAGTTTGCTTGAATACCGTAATATGAACTTTGAGAATATTATTTCTATATTTTTGAGATATTTTTAATAATCAGGAAAATGATAAATATAAATTCTTGAACTAAAAATAAAAAATATCCAATTTTTTTAAAAGAAAAAAAAAGAAAAAAGAAAAATAAACATCTTTCATAAAGATTTAGATGAGATTTTAAAGGAAAAACAATAAAAATAATTGAAGTTATAGTTTAGTATATAATATGTATTAAAATAAAAAAAATTGTAAGAAAAAAAAATACAAATATAAATACTTTTTTTAGAAACTTTGCAACAATAATTTTTTTAATGAAAAAAGAATGAAGAACACATATTTCAATTATCATCAAATTATAACATCTAAACAATCAAAATACTTGTGCAAAGATATAAATGAATGCTCAAACTTTGATTAGAATCAATCAATTTGGGAGCATGCATTAGGTAATGACAGATTTAAACAAAAGTTCACATAATCAAAATGAAACATACCTGTATAAGGTTTTTAGGGCCTCTTCATAGCACTTCTATGTCCAAGCAAGTTTTAGACCTGAATCATATGAACATGTTAGGAATTATATATTCTTAAAAAAATTGCATGATTGGCTAGTGGATTTATTTATTTATTTTTAAAATAAAAGATTGTAGTCAAATTAGTCAAATATGATGAACTTTTTAATTATTGTCTACTTTTAATATCCGAAAATTCTAGCATGATTTTAAAATATTATACACTTTTGTTACTAAATCATTCATCAACATAGAATAAATTATATTTTATAAAAATCTGAGTCTAATATATGTGTACACATTTATATACACCTCATTTAGATATATTGATTAAAATATGTGAATTATTTATTTTAATAATATTTTTAAAAATAAATTAATAAAACTTCTATGTATTACATTTTGTATGAAAAAATAGAAAAGTTTTGAGTTTTGTAGTGACAATAAATAATGTATTGAAAAAACATGTTCTTAATAACATCTTCAACATTGAAATGTAATGTTTAACATATTTAATTGTATTTTTTAAAATCATAATATAATCTCATCATAAAAAAATGCTTTTAATGATAATTACATATATAATTTTGATCACGCTTATTTTTATAATTTTAATTTGATTAGAAATGGGTGCACAATCCATATAAGTTTACAAACATAGTGAAAGAGTGCAAATGAGGGAAAGTAAGAAAACAAAGTTGACAAAAATCTATGAATGGGTTTAAACATGTATGCAATAATATATATATATATATATATATATATATAAACATTTTTTTCTTTCTTATTTATTATAATTTATATCAAGTTCATAACATTAAGAAGTGGAACTAATTCTTTAATTCATTTATTACATTTATTAACTCTTATATTGCAATTTTAAATTGGGTTTTGGGTAGTTTATACATTTTAATAGTTTAAATGTAATAAAATCAGAGGACCAACATGTTCTGATATTAAACTTGACAATTCAAACAGGAAATTGATTCAAAATATTCTCCTAATAATTAATGATTTGACAATCTGAAGTTGTACTCAACTTTGTCAATTTTATTATTATTATTATTATTTATTTTATTATTACCAAATAAAATATTTGTGTACTAAAACTTAAAATTAATCAATTAATTAAATATGTTTGGTTTGAAACCGAAGAGATTTGTATTTGGTTATGTCCAATGTAAAGTTTTTGATCAATTTTGTAACTCCACTCTTCGACCTATACAATTATCTACGAATATTCATCTATTGGTAAAGTCATGAGAATATGTATCCTCTCAACATATTCAGGCAATCGTGGCTTTATTCGTTCTCTATCAAAATTAAACGCATCTTTAATTTTTTATCATTAATTTAAGTTTTTTTAAAATATATTTATACTTTTAAGTACTAGTGCCACTACAGTGCCACTACAAGTCTTACTAACATACAAACAATGCTTTCAACAAAGTCTTTAAAATGATTCGTTTCCATACTTTCAACCAATAGAAATGAAGATTCCAAAGTTCCGGCATCATTTTGGAGTTTAATTTACCACCTTCATGCCATGTATGGTTTTGTTGAATAGGTGCACAGAAGTGCAGACTATGTAAATTGTTATTTTTGGAAAAAATAGTAATTTAGTAATGGAAAAAATAATACTTTTTTGAAAGAAGCTTAGCTACAAAACAATAATTGGTGGTGCAAAGTTTTAAATATACAATGTGGTGCTCATTTTCATTGAAGTTCAAAAGGTAACAAGACACCCAACTCTTCACAATCACAATTTCAACATGATTCAAGATAGATGTTAATAGAAATGAGGTCTCATCAAAACTTCCTTAGGACAAAAAATACTTTCTAAAATAAATAAATTTAAAGAATGATATCTATATATATATATATATATATTTTCAAATGTGTCCAAGAATATCACTGACCTTTTTTGCATTACCTTCAAAAAGGCTATCAATTTTTATTTATAATATAACACTAATTTATGAATATAAAAATTTATTATGAAACATCACTAGACCTTCATGGTTATGGATTTGAGTATAGTTTACAGGGACTCAGTTTATTGTTTACTGAAAGTATAAAAAGAACTTAAAAACATATATTACTGGGCACAGAAAAAGCGAAGGTCAAATTTCATACAGTAATATTTTATTTTAAAATCTTGTTTTTTTTTATGCACTATATACCTCATCAAAAAATAAAAAATAAAAAATAAAAATTCCAAATATATTCAAGGCCTTTATCTGTATTTATAAACACATATTAAACATACCATTTTTTCATGGTCGCCAGACCATATTCTTTTTCTGAGAACGCCCCAGGGAATTTCCTCTGGGAACGTCCAAGGGAACCTCGTCGGAGGACCGTCCGTCCGTCAGGTTCCGAATCGTCGACGTTCGTTCTTTCAAGGAAATAGCGGGTGGTGCCGTGGCGAACGGGTGAAAAGAACCCGGTCGAATTTGGGCCACCCCCGCCGTCTCTTTCACGTCTCCAGTGGCCCCGAGTTTACTGTGGCCACCCAGTCTGCAGCCTCCCATTTCGTTTTTGCTTCTCTTGTTGGTAATTTACTTGCGATATTTCACAATATGCAGCAATCTCAGGTTTTCCTCGAGGCTTGTTGTTATTTTTTTTCGAGATCTGTTCTGCGCGATTTTAGTTCTACCGAAGCTGTTTATGCTTGGATGGATCCGGGTGAGGGTGGCGCACTGTGTCGCAGTTATGCTTAGCGGAAGGTTGGTTTCTCATGTCGTTGCCATGGCGTGGCGGAATGAATGGATTATGAACACGACTCTTTTTTCTTCAGATCAAATGTGCCTCGTTGTGTCTCTAAATTTCCTTGGAACTGACTTTGCGCTTCTGAATGACCGGGGTATGAAGCATATTAGAATCTGTCTCAATTGCCTTTTGCTGCAGCTACCTCTGATTCACAGTGTTGATATTTTGAATTGGCATGCAAAAGGTAAGAAGAGGAGGTGACCTATATCCGTAGTGTCGGAAGGATCGTGACTTTGTTTTGCGATTGTTTACTCTGATCCTCGCTGAAATTCGAAAGAGAATGCTGGTGGAGTGATTGTGAAAATAAAAATTGGATAGCCTCGGGGGATATTCTTTTCAGCGGACTTGCAATGGCAACCTCTGGCGGAACGTGTGGAGATGTGGATCTCGGCCTTCTTCATAGTGCTTCTTTTCTCAAGTAATGTTCTTCTCTATATACTTTCTATGCACCGCTCAAATATTAACAAGAACATCGATTAGACATGCACAACAGCATTGGCATTATGTAATTAGAATAGTGGACATAAGGTGTTGTTCTCCTCGGTGCAACATAAATATCTTGTTGACGGAGTACTCGCTGGCAGTGGCAGAGGTGTTTTTTTGTTAATATGGTTAGTGTACTTCAGATTTCTCACAGCTAGATTTTTACGGAGTACTCATATTTTCTGTGGTACGACTACACTATTACATGCTGCCTAAGCAATCATCAATTCGTAATCACTGTCTACTGTGTCGCTTTGATTTTTCGTAGTTTCTTGTTGTCATGCTTTGTTACAAGTTATATCACTAAGAGTGGCAGCTTGGTAAACTGAGTTGAATCAAATGCAGCACAACCTGACATTTGTTTTATGTCGTCTTAGATTTCCGATTGACAAGCCGAATGATCCTAACAGAGAAATCCAGTCTCGCCTGAGTTTCTTGCTGTTGCTCACTGGTGTGGGAACCACCTTAGGTACATGGGTCATTTGCTCTACTTTCTATTATTACCTTATTTTTTGGAATGGCTGTGCTTCACAGGAAGTTGAATATGATTTTAAAATTCGGTAGACTGCTGGTACATGGATTGAACATTTTCCTTGTGCATCAGTGTACTAGGGCTGTGTCAGAGCACCTCGGAAGTACTGTTGTGAGTTATCAGGATTGCACATTGGTAGGCTCGTGAGCGTACCTATCACATTTATAGCTCTGTGAACTAGAACCCAGTAGTTAAGTGCCAGATACTTAAAGGACAAGTGATATGAACACAATCATTAACTTGAATTTGGGCCAGGCAAACCGACTTTTCTTTCTCTTGCTTCAACATTTCTAAATTGTTTCTCTCGTTTTGAAGAAGACTAACACCTCGTTCCATTCCATTCAGAACTATAGCATTGTGACTTTGAGTTGTGTACGTGCAGGTTTCAAGGAAGTTTTATTTCTGGAAAGAACTCTGGAGTTGTCTTGCAGAGAAAGAGAACGCGTACAGAAAAGGCCCCGCTTAAGTGCTTGTCTATCAGTTGGTGAGACGATACTTGACGGGGAGGAGGCGGTAATGTCTTGGTTTGGTTCCATCAAAGTCTGCTGAATCACAAGTTTCATTTAATGCGAATATTTAAAGCTTTTTACTCACCCGAATTGTAGAACAATGATAAGAAGCAGAGATATTGAAATGCGGAGATGCTTATGTGAGGACTTGGTATTTCACAGGTGGATGGAGCTGGAGAAAGCAAAGGTGGTAAATCACCGATGCAAGATGACGGGTCAGAGTCCCTTTCCTCGTCGCAGGAGTTTGCAGAGAAGGGGAAGGTGAGAATTTGGATTTGTTCGTATCGATACCTTTAATGTTGTACCTATCGAAGGATATGGGAGTTATTTGGCTTCGTAATTTAGAACTCCTGACGTTTTCAGGGTAGTATCACTTCAGAAGAGTGATGTGTGAGCTATTTTCATTGATGACAGGAAGATTCAGCGAAGAAAGAAGTGTACACTGAACGGTTTAAATCCATCGACACAAGAGTAAGTCGTGTCTACTACCTAAACTTTCAGATGTATTTAGTTTACGGAGCTTCGCTATGCGGGGAATGATCTAACCGATGATTTAGTAATGTAGGTGGAAGAGGTGGAGGATGCACGGTGTGATGAAAGTGGTAAGATTCAATTCATTTGAATTTTTGCATACTTGATATGTCGCTATTCCATTTAAAACCCTGTTGCATCAGACCGTTAGAACTCATTCAAGTCCGCATTGAATGTTGTTTTGACAATTGTCTGTTGTCAGGAAATAATCTATTAGTTCCAGAACTGATGTGATTTTTATATTTAACTTGCTCACAGGTGAGGATCTCATTCGCCGAGGTAAAGAAATCTTTCTTCAGGTATGCTTCTTACAGGGCACTGTAATTCTTTTGTTGATTGAACCTGTAGAAGAGGATGGGCAGGGAGATTGTGAGGATGAGAACTTTTTGTGCGAAGCAGATGGCAATAATTTCTTTTATTTTGGCTCAGGGTTTTAACTGGGAATCTCACAAGCAGCAGTGGTGGCGGTCACTGAAAAGAAAGGTCTCGGAGCTTGCTGGTTGGGGTTTCACTTCTTTGTGGCTTCCTCCTGTTTGTGATTCGTTGGCCCCACAAGGTCAGCTTTTCAGGTCTTTGCTGGGTCGACAATCGTCTTTCAGGATTTTTTATTGGTCTCAGAATGGAATTGAACTTTTGTGCTGTATTGGCTTCAATTCAAAATGCCACGTTTCTTCAGTCTCAAAACCTTCATTTACCATATAGTTATCGTGATCATACACTTGAGAGTGATGGCATTTGCATCTGTTCAGGCTACCTCCCCAAGAATCTATACAATTTGAATTCGGCCTATGGTAGTGAAGTTGAACTGAGAAGCTTGTTGCAGCACATGAAGAAAAGTGGCTTGAAGCCCATGGCCGATATAGTAATCAACCATCGAGTAGGTAGCACTCGAGGAAAAGGAGACCTTTACAATCGTTATGATGGACTCCCTATGCCTTGGGACGAGTATGCCGTCTCATCGGACACTGGCGGGCTGGTACTGTATATTTACTTCTAGATCTCATGTCAAGGGTGAAACTTCTATTGTTTACTCATAATTGAAATCTTATGAACCCTGACACCTAAGCCTATAGGAGAAAAAGAAGATGCGGATGCCTTACCATCCTGAAGGCTTTTCTTTGTGCAGGGAAAGCCAAGCACGGGAGAGATATTCAAAGGTGTGCCCAATTTAGACCACTCAAGTGAAGTTGTTGCAAATGACTTGAAGAACTGGCTGGAATGGATGCGCAAGGATGTAGGCTTTGAATGCTTTCGGTTTGACTATGCGAAGGGGTGAGTTAATCTCTTTCATTGTTACACGATAGTCTTCAGGTCTTCAGTGGTCAATAATATTTGCATGTCGCTTACCTTAGGTACGGCACACAGTGCATATTGCCAGAGTTTTTATGTTTTGAGCTTCACCATCTGATGTTCAAGTCCATTAAGGTCAATGATGCGACCCCCCGTTCAGAAGTCATCTTATAGACTCTTTGTATTTGGTACCCGTATGCAGATATAGCCCTAAATTTGTGAAGGCCTACATAGAAGCTTCGAAGCCTAGACTGGCTATCGGCGAGTACTGGGACACCTGCAAGTATATCGGACCCAATTACCTTCTTGATTATAACCAAGGTTAGCGTTTTTCGCAGTTGTACTTTCATCTATTATGTTTATCTGTTTTTGATATGTTCATGTTGCACTCAGAATTGAAGCAGTGTTTAATTTTCAAAGACATTAGTTGTGGCAAGCATAACGGATGAAGACTACACTGTACAGATGCTCACAGACAGCGAACAGTTGATTGGATTGATGGAACTGGTGGCTTATCATGTGCATTTGATTTTACTACGAAGGCTATCTTGCAGGTAAGGTCTTTCATTCCCAGATTTATGAAAAGAATTTAGCATACGTCGAAAATATCGTCTTGAACATGATAAACTGTCTCACTCAGCTCACATCACCCGATTCATGAAGAAAGTGGCCAGACCAGGTTTTAGGGTTTGAAACGTTTAAGTATCATCCTTAAACGTTTGAAACGCTGGTGTGCTTTGGTTATAAATTTTGATGTAAGCTGTTCGTTCATTTCCTAGGCAGTAACATCTCAGTTGATTTCAGGAAGCATGTGCCAAAGAGGAATGGTACCGACTTCGTGATGCACAAGGGCGCCCACCTGGGCTGTTGGGTGTGTGGCCCTCGAGAGCTGTGACATTCATAGATAACCATGATACGGGATCCACCCAAGTATGGAGCGTGATTTTTCTTTGGCCGAATCCGCTTCCTTGAAGCTTTTTTCGTGACTTTTGGATCATTGGCATCTTTTTCTGTATGAAGAGGATCGTTACCCGTTTCATTTCGGTGAAAGATGTGAATATTTGACCTTACTTTCTCAGTGTAATTTCGTTAGGTCCAACAACTTGAGATACTAACTGTTGCCTTTTCTTGTATAAACAGGCGCACTGGCCCTTCCCTCGCAATTGTGTTGCACAGGTGCTACTGACGTCCATTATAATAGGTCAATTAGGGCAAGATTTTCTTAAGTTAACATCTTATGAGGATTTGATTTAACTACTGTTGGGATTTGGTCTCAGCTAAAATAGATCATTGATAATTGTGATGATGAATGTCCAAATCTCATTCGGCTTCAAATCGTATTGATTCCTCTCGAAAGTGACTTAGCCTCTTTGTGTGGCCTGGCGTAGGGTTATGCTTACATCCTCACTCATCCTGGTCAGCCTTGTGTGTTTTACGATCATTTGTATGAGTGGAGCGGCGACTTGAAGAGGGTTATTCTAGAATTGGTGAGCAATCCTTTTCAGCTTTTCGTTGCAATATCAGAGTGCCTGGTTGAAAAACCCGTGTTTGTTCACGTTCCCTTTTCATGTTGCAACAATGATCACCTTACTGCTAAGCTTTTTTGAAGTCTCTGTTACCAATCAGGCATTTATAACGAAAGCACTCTCAAGTAGAATTTGACCTCTCTCTCTTCTGATTTGACCACTCTCTCTTCTGTACAGATTGATATTCGCAGGAAACTTGAGGTTCATAGTCGATCGCACATCACGATACTTGAAGCAGACACGAATGGTTATTCAGCCGTTGTTGACAACAAGCTGTGCGTGCGATTAGGCAACACTGAATGGACCCCTCCCTCTGATAGTCTCTGGGAACTTACTCTCTCGGGCAGTGGCTATATGATATGGAGTAAACCCCAGCCGCTCTTAACCTCTCAATGAGCGTCTTGCTCGTGAATTTCAGACGCATTCAGCATTTATTTATTATACATGAATTGTCCATTGTAAAGTGGATAAGGATCCCGTAGCGATCTACATTAATTTCTTATGATTGGCTTGCGAAACAATCACTAGTTGCCACAGCAGTCACCTTGACTTGTGTGATGAATTAGTATTTTCAAACACTTTTACATATTTGAATAGTTTCCTGAAGCCACTGCATTGTGGTCGGGTTATCTGATAGTTGGAATTTAACAATTATTGATTTTATAAAATACATATACGATTTATTTTTATTCATGGTCTCAGATACATACTCTCTTCTTCTTCTTCTTCTTCTTCTTCTTTTCTATTTATTTATTTTTGTCAAGATCTGGTTTAAAAAAGTTTGCTACAATTAGCAAGACCTTTAAAAAAAACATAAGTAGGTTGTTGAGTGCATTTTTATATAATGGTAAAACTTTTACTGCAAAATATCTTTCAAAATTGCTATTAAAAAATGAAATATTCTGTTATATGATAATATTAAAATTACAAAGACCTTGAAGCAGTGAAGAATATTAGACAAAGTTGAAACTTTGTTGCAAAATTATAGGTTGTTGATCAAAATTGAATTATGATCAACTCATTGCATGTAATTGAATTCAAGTTAATATGGATTACCCACTGTTTTTGTGGATTGTTAGTGTAGTTGGCAAGCTAGACTAGAATTCTTAGAGAGAATAGGTGGTGTGAAGTGACATAAACAACACTTACAGAGATGCATTTCTTCAAGAGTTCCCTGCCATGACAGTTTTCCTGAGAAAACAATTCCAAGAGCAGTAAGGTCAAAGCAGAAGGATAAGAGAAGATGATGCACTCTTCATGCATCAGGATGAAGAGAAAGAGGCCACAATTGCAGAGTTGAGAGCAGAAAATGAATGTTTTTTGAAGCATACAAGTAGCAATTGGCATTCATGGCCATATGCAAAGTTTTAGGAGAGAAGAGGAAGTTGCATTGGACAATTTGATTGCTAATCTTATAGATTGTCTAATTGAACTTACAATAACATATGTGTGGAAAAGAATGCAACAAATAGTACAGCCACCACAACAAATGCAAGGAATCCAAAACTCCTTGTCATTTCCAACACCTCACATTCCATCCATTCTAGTTGAAATAAAGTTGACAACCTATTTTTGATAACTTAAGCATTTCAGCATATATCCAAGAGGTGGAAAATTGGAAAAGAAATTAAAATATTATCATGTAGGAAAATGGTAATGATGAGAATTCCAAGTTTTCTATACAATTTGGTCCGAAAATAGAATTTATGTAAATGTTTTAGTTAAAGATTCTCTTTCATCTATTTTAGTCATATATGCCTATTTAATTTCAATTAGTAAACGGTTTTAAAACCAAGTCTCCAATTCTTACAAAACTATGATGTAGTATCTATTAATGCTACCAAACTTCATCTAATTTAGTACTACTTACAGATGTAAATGTATGAATGAGGCCATGAAAAATTCAAACATCTAATTATAACTAATCCACCATATTCAAGTTTGATATTTGTTGCCATTCTTCCTTGTTTTTGTTCATCTCCAAACAAAATCTTACATCTTCCATCTTCCAATGTCAATCCAAAATTTAATTGGAACCCTTCTTCTTCTCTCTCTCCTTCCTTAAATTACCTATACTATGGCATTCCTATAGTGTTAGATTGAATGGACTTGCATACAATGTCCACCTCAGTCAATAATTGTCTTTTTGTATCAATTGCTATTCTATACCAACCAAAGACAATAATTACCCCTTTGCAATGACCATGGTTGGCATTGGCCTTTTTGTACCTATTGAGACTAGCAAACATACTATTGCACCAACTAGAGCTAGCGACAATAAGTCCACATTGATCCAAGTCAACAATTGCCCCTTTGCATTGATCGAAATCGATAACCATCTCTTGGCACCAAATTTAATAGGAAGGTCTCTTTACAATGCCAAATTTGAAAAAAGACCTCCTTCTTTTCGTGCTCTCCTATTCTTTTCTTTGTAGTACCAAAAATAGTATTTAAAAAATTATTTATATTATTGATCTTGTTTTGACATGCTCCCACATCCCATGTAGAAGTGAGAGAATTGGATTGTGCCAATGGTCTCTTCAACCTTCTTGCTAATTGTAGCATATGAGACTTAACTTAGAAGGTTAGGCAAGCTTGGTGCACAGATTCCCATTGTTCTTACAAATCTTGACATTGTGCCTCCTTTGCATGTGTAGTTGCTTTGCATATAGCTAAGTATAAGGATTCTCACTCAAGCACCTTACAAGCATGTTCTTGTGCCAAAGTGTCTTGTTGAAGCACCTTTTAGGTGTGCTCTTTTGCAACAATCTCTTATTGTGTAGCCTTGTAGGCTTGTTCTTCTGCTATTGTAATATAATGAACTTCTCTTAAAATCCTCCAAACTTGCAAATCCATTAATCTTTTGAGATTTGATTCTTCACATTGAATTCATGTTTTTTCTTTTTTCTTTTTTTATTCAAGATTTTGATCTTATATTTGCTGCATAGTACTCATATATGCCTCTAAGGTTAATATTAATGATTTAGAAAAATCTACTATAAAATCTACATTGCGTTTCCTTGAGATAGATGTATCTATGATGGTAGGCAATGTTAGAAAGTGAATTATACATTTTGGATTAAAACATGTCATGTCGTATTATGTGTGTTCTTACTTGAGAATGCACGAGGTGTCTAACTAAAGAAGATAAGTAGAAATGTAAAAAAAATCCTACCAAGTCAAATAAAATCTTAAATAATCCTAAATAGATCTTAATAAACTTGATCAAACTTTGACCAATCAAAAATAAATTTAAAAGAAGTTATAAAAGAAACACAAAGAAGTTCCAAACTAATTCAAAAGAAAAATAATAAGAAATCTTAAAGAAATATAAAAATAAATCTTTAAAGAAATCACAATAATCTCAAAGAAATACTATAAATAGAAATCTCTAAAAAAATAAATAATCCTAAAGAAATATTAAAAATAAAAATCCTAATGTAATTCTAATTGAAATAAGAATTGAATCTTAACCAAATCCTAGGTCAAACCTTAGCTCGAATCCTAATTGAAATCCTAATTGAACTTCAACCAAATCCTTGATCAAATTCTAATTGAAATCCTAATAAAATCCTAAATCTTAAATAAATCCTAGACTAATTCTAAACCAAATCCTAAGCAAATCCTAGACCAAATCTAAAACCAATCCTAATCAAATCTTAGATTTTAAACAAACTCTTAATAAACTCTATAGTAAATAGAACCTCAACAACTAATAATCAAACCATTGATGTCAACTCAAATTTTGCACACTTCTTAATGTCTTAATTAGAAACAAGCACAAGAAAGATGAAATCAATTGTATCTATCAATTGATAGAAAAACAAGATAATCCAATCAAGTATTAGATGGCTTCTTACTCCAATCTAAATGTTGAACTTCTAGCATCAATATCTCGTGCTTGAACTATTGAATTGCTTCCAGATTTTATCCAAAATGTTGAAAATTGAGTCTAGTATTCTTACAAAAAGTTTCACTTCAATCCAATTGATATATTGCTAGATATCTTAGAAATACTCCCTGACCTTCAAACTCCAGTTTTTGAAACCTCAATCTACAAAAACCTTTATACACTTTGATCTAACTATTCGATTGACATCAATATTTGTATACACATTAACAACTAGAACACCAATATATTACCCAAAATTCATCCATGCATACACTATAGAATTCAAGAAACTTTCAAATTTATAAACATATTTTTATTTTTCAAAAATCTAAACCAACCAAGAACATCAGTAACTTTGAAAATCCCTCAAAAACTTAATATTGATTCGATTGACATAAAAATAATTTCCAAAAATCTCTCTTTAGAGTTTTCTTTTAAAACCTACTCTCCAATCTTCTAAAGAATCCCAAAGTCATTGTAGGTATGCGGTTTTGTATTCAAAGTCTAATTTTGATCTTGGTTGAAAATTGGTTCTCTTTGGATATCAATTCTTGGCTTCTTGAAATTTTACTGAAATCTATTCTTAACTCCTTCCTACATATGACTATATTATTTTTTATTTCATTTACTTTGATTTGGCTTATTTATGCCTTTATAAAATAAATAGAAGTTTCTTCTATAAGAAGGCAATATTAAGACTACATATTTTACTAAATTTTTATTATTCATCTTTATTTTTCTACTATATCTTTTTTCTAGGTTCTTCTATAATAACACCCATATTTTTTATTTTCACTATATAGTTGTATTACCACACAATAGTGGGATTTGATTCATTAATTTTTTTCACTAATTCTAAATTTGCTACGTCTATATCAACAAAAATATGTTCAATGGTAGAATTTGGAGTAAGGTCTAAGTTTGTTGCAATGTTATGAATTAACAAAGGAGGTGAGTCTTTACTAGCTAACTCCATGCTATCAACTTTATTTTCTACAAAATTTCTAACTTTTTACTTTGTCCAACATCTTCTACAAATTTTGTATATATTTGATTAAGACTCATGTGATTATCTATTGCCATTTTATCAAGGAAAAAATTATCAATGGAATTAAAATCTTTGATAATATTGTTCATTATTAAAGCAAGTTTCAAGCTTAGCAACATCCAATGCACAAGAATTTATTTTTGAGTATGTTGGTTTAAATTTCTCAAAATCCAATATTCTTAATATTATTTGAAATATGTCTTGAAGGGTCCAAATACACATGTATCTAAAGACTACATGGTATGAAATGTGTGAGATGATAGAATTAGAATATCCAATTTAGTATTGTGTGCTAGTTTTGCCACTTCAATAGTGGCATAGCTTGCGTGTTTCTCAATAAATGCCTTTGTATTGGAGAAATGCTACCAAGTCATTCCATGCTCTTAATAAAATGAGAAAACATCATAGAAAATAAATAACTTGTCATCCAAGCCTTGGATTATATTGCCATTATTGCACTATTAAAGACATAAATCTCAAAGAATAAAAAGATCAATATACTCTTATGTCATTTAAAAAGACTAGATAATCACTCAAAGAGGATATAATATTAAATTAAAATGGCTATTGCTAAAAAAAAAAATAGAGTCTCTTGAAATAAGACTAAGAATAAAAAAGGCATTGATAAGATTAAAAATGACTTCACTCTTACCTCTATATATACTATTTAACTAAGATTTATGTAGTAACATTCTATAAAACCTCTAATATGTATCTAATTTGCAAGATACATATCTAACTTACAAGAC